AAAACTAGTATAACACCAGTGAAGCTCTCTGAACCTAGAGTTTTCTATGTGAAAGTGGCTTTAATTACAAGTTTAGTTTCTTTAACGGATAATGGCGATTCAGATTTTCTAATTCATTTGTTTGTTTTGGAAACTTGGGACTTTTTAAGCAATTTGACTATGTCATCTAAGTTTTTTAGTTTTTTGGCGTATTGCTCATAATTTCCCAGTAATTCCCTTTAAATGTCTATAAGATCTAGTGATGTCTTTGCTTGTGTTCCTGATGTTGGTAATTTGTTTTTGGGCATTATTCTTTATTTCTCCTTCTCTATCACTTTTCACATCTACACCATCCTTCCTGTTCCCATTTTAATTTAGAATGATGCCAAACTTTTCCTAGGGAGGCTGTAATAACCACACTTCCTGTTTACAGTCTTTCTTCTGTGTCCTATTTACCTTCTTTTAGGAAGAAAGATCTTTCTAAAGTGCAAATGTAATTAAATCTTTTCTAGCTTAAAACTTTGATAATTTACTAATTCCTTCAGGAAAAAAAAATACATATATGCTCCTTCCTATGAAATACAAAGTCATCAATGATAAGGTATCTGTTTGTCTCAATAGGTACCTGTCTTTTCTTGTATTTACTTCTCCTTTATTATCTCTGCCCGCAGGCCATAAGGAAGTATACTGCCTTTCTAGAAGTATACTGCCTTTCTAGGGATTCTTCACCTAAAAACAGAATGCAGCATTTCAGATGTGATATGATCAATACTAAGACAAAAATTGTCTCCTAACTTCTCCTTTACTGAGACAATTGTTAATATTTGATTGGTATGGTCTTAATATTTATTATTTATTTGACATAATACCTTTTATTCAGTAGATTTTTATATTCACAGCACTATCTCACCCCAAAACATTATTTTAAAGCCCAGGTTCCATTTTACTGTTATCTCAAAGCATATTAAGTAATAGGGATGCATCTATTTGCTCCAGTCAGAGTACCTATCAGACAGCTATTTGATCCCTCCTCCTCAAACCCATGATAATGAGTTTATTTCAGCTTGGCAGTGTTAGTGTTGGTATTTGACCTGCCATCAGATAACTAGATGGTGTGTATTTCTTTCTAGTATCATTTCATAGTGTGCAAAATGAAGAAACATTCCTCTGAAACTGTCTAGCTGGTTTGGAAGTAAAGCAGTTGTTTCTTTTCTTGTCAGTCCTTCACCTCCTCACCCCCAGGGGAATCAGGATGCCCCATGTTATATTTAAAAGCCTAAACACATCAAACTTTTATTCTTCTGTTGGGTTTGAAAGGGGGACGTTATTAGCTCTGTCTTGATGTAGCAGGGGCTCTGAAAGTCTATTTGGATAACACTGAAGATTGGAGGAAATGTGACTCTGTCTGTGTGCTTTAAGCCCCTAAGGTAAGATCAGAAAGCGTCTGGGCAGTGAGAGCCAAATGGTTGAAGTCATACATTAATTATGGTCATGAATCATTTTTATTTTTAAAGTCTTTACCATTTGACAAGGTTGTTTGCATAGTACCAGTGAGTTTCAGGCAGCATTTTCCCCCTTTTAAAGTAACAGGCTATTTTGTTGATTTCTGCTCTGAGTTGTTAATGCCTGTTATTATTATTAGAATTCTGATAACTTTTTTGGTAAAAATTTCATGTTTCCTTACTTAAGTGAGTGGTCTTTATTTGATTTTTGTTTTGAATATAGTATTTTAAAGTTATAAATATAGAAAACTATCACTATAATTATTGAGTAATTTTTTTTTTTTAAAGATTTTGTTTATTTATTTGACAAAGAGAGAGAGACAGCGAGAGAGGGAACACAAGCAGGGGGAGTGGGAGAGAGAGAAGCAGGCTTCCTGCTGAGTAGGGAGCCTGATGCGGGGTTCGATCCCAGGACCCTGGGATCATGACCTGAGCCGAAGGCAGACGCTTAACGACTGAGCCACCCAGGCGCCCCAATTATTGAGTAATTTTTAAAAATTGAGGTAAAATTTACATACAGTGAAATGCATAGATCTTAACTTTAAATTCTGCATATAACTATGTACCCACACCCCAATAAAGATACATAGGACATTTCCATCACCTCAGGGAGTTCCCTTTGTTCCCCCTGTTTTCTGCCAGTTAGTCCCACCCCACATAGACAACTAGCAACTCTTGATTTCTGTCCCCATGGATTGCTTTTACCTGTTCTTGAACTATGTATAAATGGAATCATACAGTATACTTTTTGTTTCTGGCTTTTTTCACTCAACATAACGTTTTCGAGATTCATTCATATTGTTGTGTGATTCAGTGTGTCTTCCTTTGTATTGATGAGTAGAATTTCATGATTATACCTCAGTTTGTTTATTAATTTTCCTGTTTGATGGACATTTGTGTTGTTTTCTATGAACATTCTTCTACGGATCTTCGTGTGGACATATGTTTTTATATTTCTTGAGTAAATGCTTAGGAGTAGAAATACTGGGTCATAGGTTAGATGGATGTTTAACTTTATAAGAGACTGTTTTCCAAATGATAGTACTCTTTTACACTTTTACCAATAATGTGTACAAGTTCCAGTTGTTCCACATCCTTGCAGTATTAGGTGTTGTCATTTTAATTTTAGCTATTCTAGCAGGTGTAACATGGTATCTCCTTATGATTTTAATTTGCATTTTTATGATGACCAAGATGTTGAGTACCTTTTGTTATACTTATTGGCCACTCTTACATCACCTTTGTGAAGAATTTTACTTTTTTGCCCATTTTTAATTGGGTTGTCTTTTTGTTACTGATTTATAAGAGTTCTTTATATACTCCAGACACAGTCCTTTGTCAGATTGATGTTTTGCAAGTATTTTCTCCCAGTCTGTGGATTGCTTATCATTTTCTTAATGGCATCTTTAGATGAACAGACATTTTTTATTTTTGTGAGGTCCAATTTATCTATTTTTAATTTTATGGTTAGTGCTTTTCATGCCTTCTCTATGAAATCTTTACCTCCCCCAAGGTTTCAAGAGATTCTCTGTTTCTTCTACAAGTTTTATGATTTTAGGGTTTGTGTTTACTGTGCTGTCCTTGAATTAATCTCATGTGCTGTGAGGTAGGGAATGAAATTAATTTTTTTTGCCTACGTTTATCCAATGTTCCAGTACCATTTGTTTAGAAAACTTTCTTTTCTCCATTAATTTACCTGGGTTCCTTTGTCCAAAATCAATTGGCCATATATGTGTAGCTCTATTTATATAATCTTTACTCTGTTCCATTGATCTATGTTTTGATTGTTATGCTAGTACCATAGTGTTTTGATTATGTAATTTTATTAAAAAAAGTTATCTTGGTTTCTCTCTTCTAGATTCTTTGTTTTTCTGTATAAATTACAGTATCAGCTTCTTAATTTCTTTCAAAAAAATGAAAGCCTTTTGAGATTGGAATTTGGATTGTGGAACAATGACCCATATATAGAAGTATAACAAATTTCTGTACATTGACCTTATATCCTGTGACCTTATTAGTTCTAGTAGTTGTTTTGTAGATTACTAATGAAATTCATTTTCGGGGTGCCGGGGTGGCTCAGTTGTTAAGCGTATACCTTCGGCTCAGCTCATGATCCCAGGGTCCTGGGATCGAGTCCCGCATCGGGCTCCCTGCTCGGTGGGGAGCCTGCTTCTCCCTCTCCCGCTCCCCCTGCTTGTGTTCCCTCTCTCGCTCTTTCTCTCTCTCTGTCATATAAATAAATAAAAATATTAAAAAGATATTTAAAAAAATTCATTTTCATTATATGAAAATCATGACATCTAAAAATAAAGACAATTTGACTGTGTGTATGTATAAGAAATATATAATCTATATTTGAAGACCAAGAGACTAAGAAAAACACAAACCCATAATGAAAGCAAAAAAGAAAAATAGTTCTTAATTTTTTCAGTGTTCCTTGTTTCAAACTGGCTGTTGCTGCTATAACTGGGATTATTGTTAATTCTTTTTTTCTTTGTGTATTGCCCTAAGTAATATTCAGCCTTGTTATCAGTGATGTTCTCCTGGTGACTTTAGCACTCCACTTAATTTCTCTGGGCCTCCGTTTTCACCTTTCTAACATGATAGGATTCAACCAGATTCTTTTCTTTAAAAAAAAAAATTATCTATTTGAGAGAGACCATTGGGGGAGGGGCAGAGGGAGAGAATCTTCAAGCAGACTCCCTTCTGAGTGTGGAGCCTGACTGCGGGCTTGATCCCTTGACCCGTGAGATCATGACCTGAGCTGAAACCAAGAGCCAGGTGCTTAACCAAATGAGCTGCCCAGGAGCCCCTTAGATTATTTTTCTAAGGTGTCTTCCGGACTCCTGTGAGTTCGCCATTTTAACTCTCAATATATCGGGTGCCTGGGTGGCTCAGTTGGTTAAGCGACTGCCTTTGGCTCAGGTCATGATCCTGGAGTTCCACGATTGGGTCCTGCATCAGGTTCCCTGCTTGGCAGGGAGTCTGCTTCTCCCTCTGACCCTCTTCCCTCTCGTGCTCTCTATCTCTCATTCTCTCTCTCTCAAATAAATAAATAAAATCTTTAGAAAAAAAAACTCTCGGGCGCCTGGGTGGCTCAGATGGTTAAGCGTCTGCCTTCGGCTCAGGTCATGTCAGGGTCCTGGGATCGAGTCCCGTATCGGGCTCCCTGCTCCTTGGGAGCCTGCTTCTCCCTCTGCTTCTCTCTCTCTCTCTCTCTCTCTCCTCCCCTCTGTCGCTCATGGATAAATAAATAAAATCTAAAAAAAAAAAAAAAAAACTCTCAATATATCAGAGGTGGGCAGGCAGGCATAGAAAGGGTGTTTTTAGGATCCATAGTAATCCCTGTTTATTTCATTATAAATATGCTAGGGAATTATGAAATGATCAGTTTGAGTTGATTACTAGTTCTGCATATTCTGGAAGGTTTGTCCTCATTTTGTTCCATTTATATCTGTTGCTCTGTGTTAAGAGTTTATAGTGAACTCACTTAAATTTTTCTGCAACTTTTATTTCTAGGCTTCATAGAGCCCAGTGTGCAATTAAACAGACTCAGGTAACTGTTCAGAAAATTGGAAAGGAAATTGAAGAAAAGCTAAGGCTCACATCTACAAGCAATGAACTGGTAGGTTTTTAAATATATTTACTTGTTTAGACTCCTTGATTTCTAAATGTGATCATCATATTCTTCTTATATTAATTTTTTTTCAAAAAGCTTTTAGTTATTTTTTCTCTTAATGTTTTGCTGAGACTTATGTTGGCATTTAAATGTTGGAAAACACTTTCCTATTTCCTAATAATCTAACATGCAAAGTGCCTGCCTTTTGCTGCTAGATGAAACTTTAGATTACATAGTTACTTAGAAAATAATTAAAAGTTATTTTATTAATGTCTTATCAATGTGAACTCTAGACGTGAACTATATAGTGAATAAGAAATAGCTGCCAGAAGGAAAAAAAATTTAGGGACTAATCTCATTTTAAAACATGAATTTAGAGCTACCCTACACTATCCCTACCCTACACAATATACTACTGGGTATTTACCCCAAAGATACAAATGTAATGATCCAGAGGGGCACATGCACCCCAATATTTATAGCAGCAATGTCCACAATAGCCAAACTATGGAAAGAGCCTAGATGTCCATCAACAGGTGAATGGATAAAGAAGATGTGGTATATATATACAATGGAATATTATGCAGCCATCAAAAAAATATGAAATCTTGCCATTTGCAATGACGTGGATGGAACTAAAGGGTATTATGCTAAGCGAAACAAGTCAGAGAAAGACAAGTATCATATGATCTCCCTGATATGAGGAATTTGAGAAAAAAGATAGAGGATCATAGGGGAAGGGAGGGAAAAATGAAACAAGGTGAAACCGGAGAGGGCGACAAACCATAAGAGACTTTTAATCTCAGGAAACAAACTGAGGGTTGTGGGAGTGGAAGGGGGTGGGAGGGATGGGGTGGCTGGGTGATAGACATTGGGGAGGGTAGGTACTATGGTGAGTGCTGTGAATTGTGTAAGACTGATGAATCACAGACCTGTACCCCTGAAACAAATAATGTATTATATGTTAATAAAAAAATGAAATAAAAGATGAATGTAAAATTATTGGAGTGAACATAATAGGTTGGTTTATGGACAGGGTTCTCTTTTGGGAAAGATTCCTTTAATGAGGCATTTCCAAAGAAATAGAAATTCCAACCCAAATGGACAGATTTAAGATATTAGTATAATTTGGGGTTGCTTTATACTCTTTATAGTGGAGAAAAAGAAATATTAATTTTGGAATAAAGATTTTGTCTTTTTAAGCAGAATAGTAGGCATAACAAATAAATTGAACTTTTTTTGAAATGAAGCCACATGGCTTTTGATGAATTTTTGCTACGGATTATGACAGTTAAAATATAATTCAAATTCTCAAATTAAGTCCTAACTAAAAAACTTTAAGTATTTATTTGTACAAACTCATTCTCATACATAGGCAGTATCTTCCAGTTGCCATTTATAGCACTATCATCTTAGGAGACCTTTTCACCTCCAAACAAACATTCTGTATTATCTTGAAGATTTGCCCAAGATAGTAATTTAATAGATGAACTATGGAAACACAGTGCAGTTAACCACCAACACAGACTTCTTTCTCATGGAATTTGAAGTGAATGGATGATGATGTATTTTAACTATATAGAATTGCTGATTTTGACCCATAAATGGTAGTTTCATATAATTCAACCTGCTGTATAAAATGGCTAGTGCTGTACCTGGCACAGAGCGGGCATACAAAATATGGTAGCTACAATAACTATAGTAGTAATGCTTATCCATATGACTTTTCTTGCCTATGGAAAATCTGCTGTTTTGGAGAAGCTGTTAAACCACCTCTTGTTTTAACTCAGCCACAGTAAAGGAAGAAAACCCAGACCACAAATATATTGGAAAAAGAGAAAAAGCAGCTAATTTTAAGCCTTTCTGTAGTGTACAGAAATGCCAAATTTTTAGAACCTTTGTCCGAGGAGAAATTGCTAGGGTTTTTTCTTTCTTTCTTTCATATTTTCATCTCCCAAGGCAAGACTGGGAAATTACTTATTTCATTAAATGACAGCATATGTTTTGTCTCAGTATGGAAAAATGTATGTTTAATCCTATTTTTCTAAAATATAAGTGGTGACACACAGAGCAAGGTGATAGAATGTGTGAGTTTAAAGAGGTCAGGTTCAGAGGTTCACTGTGTGTTTTTATGCTGCCTGGTCAACATAGAAAAGAATCGTTGATTTTTGAACTGAAAGTGAACCTAGACATCATCTAGTTCCTGTATAACTTCACTAAAACCAACCCTCCTCAGTATAGTCTGTCCCCTTCCCTGTTATGTTTTTCTCCGTAGTATTTATTACCCTTTAACATGCCAGATATTTTACATAGGTATTTTATTTGTCTGTCTCTCTAAACTCTTTGTCTGTGTTTCTTCACTGCTGTATTCACTAGTGTCTAGAAAAGTGCTTAACACATAGTAGGTCCTCAATAAATATTGAGTTTAGGAATGAATCTAGCATGTTAAATAACAAAATTCAACCATGTATATTTGAATATCTACTTGGCTTTTTCAAATGATTCATGAATCAATGGGGCGACACCTCTTCTAGTAAGTAGAGAGGAGCTCCAAAGAGTCCTACAAAATGCAAGGTTTTTATAGAAGGAGGGTAGGGGCAAGAAAGTTATTAACAAAAGAAAAGGATCAGTTCAGGCAAGGCCGCTTTCTGGGGATAAAAGCAAGGTGTCTTATCATGTGGATTGCCTCATCTTTTTTGTGGGGATAGAGAGCACCAAAGGGGCAAACTTATTGGCACAGTTTGAAAAAATTCTTGGCAGGCCAGAGAAGACTACATTTCTAGAGGAGGTTTGGGAACTTGGTCTAAGTGACACCATTTTGAGCCTGTATTTTGTCTTTTTATTTGTTTTTTAAACAAGCATAAAAACAAGGATTAAACTCTTAAAAAAGGACAGAGGATGAGGCCTGAAGAAAGGAAGCAACTTTCCCATAATCATTGGACATGTAGAGACAAATTTTGGTTTACTTGTCTTCTTTCAGGGAATAATGCCATTTACTTGTTAATTTTCTACTTTAAGACTTACCTGTAGCAAATTAGAAACCTTTACTCTTACCTTTTTTCCTCATTCCCTTTCTAAGTTGGCCCAAGGTCATTATACTTCAACCCAAGCATTTTCAATTTTTAAGAATTGACTTTAATTTTAGCCTATGTATAGGGGCACATGGGTGGCTCAGTCAGTTAAGCGTCTGCCTTTGGCTCATGTTGTGGTCCCAGGATCCTGGGATTGAGCCCTACATCGGGCTCCCTGCTCAGTGGGGAGCCTGCTTCTCCTCCCTCTGCCTCTCCCCCTGGCTTGTGCTCTTTCTTGCTCACTCTCTTTCTCTAAAATAAGTAAATAAATAAGTAAATACAATAATTTTAGTCTATGTATTATCAGTCAGAAGGCATACTTGATGCTGAAAGAAATCAAAATACTTTGTAAGACCAACTGTAACTACTTCTATTATTAGCAATTGAGTTCATACTTGATGGCTTTTAAAGATTTTGCATCTTCTCACACTACCTCAATAGCTAACATATCTTTTTGACATTTAACTATGTTTCTTATGAAATTTCTGCTGTTGTCATCTTGAATTTTTGCTTACATGTTTTGGATTTTGTCAGGTGCCTTTCCACTATCTGTTGATAATTGTATTTTTTTTCATGTTCTTGTATTATGATGGTAAAATACATTGACTAATTTTTGAATGTTAATCCAATGTTGCATTTTTGGAGAAAGCACCTCTTGTTCATGAGGAATTATTCAGACTGAATTTGCTAAAATGTCTAAAGGATTTTTTTAAAAGATTTTATTTAAAAAATTTTTAAAGGTTTTTTTAAAAGTAAATAAATAATAAATAAAAATGAATAAATAAAATATAAAATAAATAAAAGATTTTTATTTATTTGAGAGAGAGAGTGAGCGAGAGAGAGAGAGTGAGAGAGAGCAAGCATGAGCAGGGGAAGAGTAGGGGGAGAGGGAGAAGCAGACTCCCCACTGAGCAGGGATCCTGATGCTCTGGGACTCCAGGATCATGACCTGAGCCAAAGGCAGACGCTTAACCGGCTGAGCCACCCTGGCGCCCCCATTTAAGGGATTTTTGCATCTATATTCATGGGGGATATTGGTCTGTAGTTTTGTTTTGTTATAATCTGTTTGTCTGGTTTTGTTGTCAGGGTGATGTTGGCCATAACTAGTGATTTGGGAAGTGTTTTTTCTTCTGTTTCCTAGAAGAATATGTGTAGAATTGTGTGTAGAATTGGAATTATTTCTTAAATGTTTGGTAGAATTTGCCAGTGAAGCCATCTGGACCTGGAATTTTCTTTGTGGGTTTTGAACTAGGAATTCAGTTCTTGAATAGTTGTGGGTTATTGAAGTTATCTGCTTCTTGAGTGAGCTTAGGTAGCTTATGTCTTTCAAGCATTTGTCCATTTCATTTAAGAAGTTAGTCTTTAGGGCGCCTGGGTGGCTCAGATGGTTAAGCGTCTGCCTTCGGCTCAGGTCATGATCCCAGGGTCCTGGGATCGAGTCCCGCATCGGGCTCCCTGCTCGGCGGGGAGCCTGCTTCTCCCTCTGCTTCTCTCTCTCTCTCTCTGTCTCTCATGAATAAATAAATAAAATCTTTAAAAAAAAAAAAAAAGAAGTTAGTCTTTAGTCTTTCCGCCATCTTTCCGTGCGGCCATAATGGTGCGCATGAATGTCCTGGCAGATGCTCTCAAGAGCATTAACAATGCTGAGAAGAGAGGCAAACGCCAGGTTCTTATTAGGCCGTGCTCCAAAGTCATCATCCGGTTTCTCACTGTGATGATGAAGCATGGTTACATTGGCAAATTTGAAATCATTGATGATCACAGAGCGGGGAAGATTGTTGTGAACCTCACGGGCAGGTTAAACAAGTGTGGAGTGATCAGCCCCAGATTCGATGTACAACTGAAAGATCTAGAAAAATGGCAGAATAACCTGCTTCCGTCCCGCCAGTTTGGTTTCATTGTACTGACAACCTCAGCTGGCATCATGGACCATGAAGAAGCAAGACGAAAACACACAGGAGGGAAAATCCTGGGATTCTTTTTCTAGGGATGTAATACATACTTGCAAATAAAATGCCTCAATGGAAAAAAAAAAGTTTTTAATTTTAGCTATTCTCGTGGGTGTGTAGTGTTTTCTTATTTTAGTTTATAATTGCATTTCTATGATAAACATTTTTCATATCTTTATTGGTCACCTCTGTATTCTTTAAGAGGTGTAAGTTTAAGTACTTTTGCCCATTAAAAAAATATTTAGATTTACAGAACACTTGCAAAGATAGTTCAGAAGAGTTTCCATTTGACTTTAATCTGTTTTCCCTTAATATTAACGTCTTCTATAACCATGTTACATTTGACATGGTACATTATCAAACCAAGAAGTTAACATTGATACATTACCATTAACTGGGGGCTTTATTCAGGTTTCACCAGTGTTTCCACTAATGTCTTTCTTTTAAATAAATAAACTTTATTTTACAACAGTAGTAGATTTATAGAATTATTACAGAGATGGTACAAAGAGTATACCTTACAGCCAATTTCTCCTGTTATTAACATTTATTTTAATGTTACAGTTAATGAACCTGTACTGATAAATCATCATTCACTAAAATCCATGCTTTCTTCAGATCTCTTTAATTCTCACCTAAAGTTCTTTTCTGTTCCAGGATCCCTGCAGGAAACCATATTACATTTAGTAGTCATGCTTCCTTAGACTCTTCTTGGATGTGAAAATTTCTCAGGCTTTCATTGTTTTTAATGACTTTGACAATTTTGAGGATTACTAGTCAGATATTTTATAGAATATCCCCTGATTGGGATTTGTCTGATGTTTTGCCATGATTAGCCTAGATTCTGATATCCTTTTTTTTTTTTTTTTTTTTTTT